ATCGTTCTTGACTACGCTCTGTTCACAATCAATCAAACGTCCAACACCTAAGAGGATGCTACAGTCAATAGAATTGTACAGTTTTGTCATGATTTTTCGCTCCTGTCTCCATCTATTTACGTTGTCTTGGCCAGGTAGGCTGGTAAAGAACTGACTTGAGGTTTTACAGGTCACCCTGCCTTGTATATTTCTTTAGTACTAATATTTCCGCGAAATATACCACCGAGGTAAAAGATTTGATGATTCAATGATATTTTGCTTGATTATTCATCTCCATAAGAGAAGGTATTTATTCTGGATTGATAATAATAAACTAAGAGACAATACAAAGCTTAACAAACATAAAGGCAAGATAGTGGTAGACTGTGGGTTGGTAGATTGGTGTATGGCATGTTTTATAATACGGGGGTGGCATGAAAGGCATATGAAAGAGATGTGGCTTGTTAGATGCTTCTTTCAAGGAAACTGCAGACATGATAAAACTCTATATAACACAAATATATATTGGTAAGGAAGATGACGTTAAATCAATACAGCTTTTAGGAAATTAGGATACATAGCCTCTTCCAAAAATGGGTTTCTGGGTTGATGACCAGAAGGTTTTGTGCAGACAAAGGCTAGAGTTACTCATGCTTTCCTTTTGTTCCCAGTCTTGATACAATTTCCAAGAGATAAGCTGCCTCACAAGGATTTGTTATCCAACCCTTGTGCGAAATATTCTTCCTCATCGTTCCAAGTAATAATACCGTCATCACAAACAAAATTTGAAGTATTTTATATGAATTCATTTACTTGCTGTAGCAAATATCTAGTCAGATCAGTCGGTGACATTCTTATGTTTTAAGTGGTGTACAATGGACTATATCAAGGGCCACAAACAGTGGAGAAGCCAGGATTTCATGTGTGTGGGGGCCTCTTACAAATTATAAAGAATCAAAAATTCGAACTCACAATACATACGAAAAATAATATATATCACATATGTCAAGAATTATATTGCTCATTCGTTGCAATCACATGTGGGTACATATCAAAATGTAAAGTATTTGAAATAATATACATATACAAATACATAACAGTATATTCCCAGCTTTGGTAGGGGATGTAAGGATTGATACATAAAATAACTTTTTATTTGATTGATAATCATATAAAGCAGAAGATATTTTAGCCATTTGCATCAAGCTCAAACTTCCTTCTTGCATGCGTGCTCCTCCGGAAGCACACACTATAATAAGAGGTAAAAATTGATTGGTAGCATACTCGGCCAAACGTGTGATTTTTTCGCCCACTACAGATCCCATACTACCCCCCTCCGCCCCTGGCCACAAATAATATAGTCCAGCACTAATATATATTATTCCCAACTTAACAATCTAAGTCTAATATTGTGACTCCATGGACTCATCCAGGTTCTCCATGTATTGGTTTGGGGAAAATGGCTGGGTGTGGAGGTTGATAGGGTGGTGGGTTGTTGGGGAGAGAGAGAGAGAAGGGTGGTAGAGATTAGTGCATGTGGTAGATTGTGATATTATCTGACAACGTCTAGTAGTTACTGAAATTGCTTCGAAGTCATTATTTGGCTTGACGTGCTGATGTGGGATTGAACTATTTACCCCACAACTTACTCAAATTTGCTAAAATATGATATTTGGTTTGAATATGTTAGGTTCTTATCTTTATTCTTCTCTATAAGGAGGTATATATAAAAGTTTACATGAGTGCTTTACAAGGAATTAGATAAAGTAAAGGATTAGGAAAGTATCTCATAATTATACAATGATTTGACAACTATATAAAAATAGGAAAGTAAATCCCTTAATTAATCAAGGAAATAAATCTCTTTGATTAATTAGGAGACTCACTTCAACACTCCTCCTCAAGTTGGTGCATATACGTCACAAATGCCCAACTTGGTAAGTGAATCATGAAATTTGTAGCACCTGAGTCGATAATCCATGCGGATTTTTGAGAGGACGTATGAAAAGTAGAACCTTTGGTGGTGTTCATAGAAGCACAAGTCTGCATGCTTCTGTGAGTCTGCAATAAGGGAAGTAAAATGTGATATGAGAATGTGAGGGATTTTGATTGGAGGAATTTGATTTGAGGAATTTGATGTATGAATTTGATGTAGGAATTGGATTTGAGAGGTATGTGTATAAGATTTGAGGAATTTGATTTGAGTATGATAAATTTGAGATAAGGCATTTGAGGACTTTTAGATTTGAGGGATTTGGATTTGGGGAAAAATATGAGGAATTTGATTTAGGGTTTTGGATTTGAATATGAGAAATTTGAGATAAGGCGAGGACTTTAGATTTGAGAGATTTGGATTTGGGAGAAATATGAGAAATTTGATATGAGGAGTTTAAAGAACACAGAAACCCTGTGAACACGGCTAAGGACACAGAAAATCTGTGAACACGGCTTAAGAACATAGAAACTTCTCTTCAATCCTCTTCTCCCCCTGAAGAGAAGGCTCTTCTCCTCCTGAAGAGAAGGATATCTCCATGAGAAAGAGAAACAAATCACTTTTCACTCCCCCTTCCCCCCTTGAAGAGGAGAGGAGGAGAAATTTTGATATGAGAATTTAGAGACAACCGAGGATCGATTGCTCTAATACCATGCTAAAATATGATATTTGGTTTGAATATGTTAGGTTCTTATCTTTATTCTTCTCCATAAGGAGGTATATATAAAAGTTTACATGAGTGCTTTACAAGGAATTAGATAAAGTAAAGGATTAGGAAAGTATCTCATAATTATACAATGATTTGACAACTATATAAAATAGGAAAGTAAATCCCCTAATTAATCAA